ATGTATATTTATGATAAAAATATATATTTAATATATCCTTAAAACACATATTAAAAAAATCCTTTTAATGCGAAAAAAACCCCTTAGAAACTTCTTGTGAATTAATCATTAGTATTTTTTTAGAAAAAAAAACCAGTTACAATACTAGATAATTTAACATTGTAAAATTTTAGAGAATGAAATAAAAAAAAATATACTTATTTATTTTTTTCTTTATTTTTGTCAAATCTCTTATTTACACTTTGCACATTATTTTTTTTTTTATGATTAACACCTTTCGGCCCATACATTCTACAATTAGAACCTACAAAAAAAAAATCCTAAATTATCAATAAAGTTAGGGTGTAAATTGGAGATTTTTTATGAATTTTAAATTATAAAAAATGTTGAAAGTAAAAAATTTTGAAGATATTAATTATAAAAAATTAATATACAAAATATAAATAGAGAGTTTTGTCTCTTATTCTTCTTCTTCTTCTTCTTCTTCTTCATCTTTTTTTTTTTCCTTGCTTGCAAGAATACACTATCTTTTCTTTGGTCTTCGTAAGTATACACTACCAAACGAACATTTTAATGATATCCATGTTTTTTTTTTCATTCTAGAAATTTCATTCATGGAGTCCATTATGGGGCCAGTTCTTGGAAGTGTAGTAGGCGAATATGTAGATTGCCACAAAAACTTCCAAAATGATGTGGATGATCTCAGAAAAAGAGTGGCAGATCTAAAACGCAGAAGAAATGATAGAGTGGCAGAACTACAAATAGTGGATGACTTGGAAAAAAAAGTTAAAGAAGAAGTGCGGGGATGGCTTGAAGATGCAAGGAAGGTCATTGAAATTGAAATGTCAGATATTGAAGAACACGTGCAGAATGTTTCATACTGGTCACGTGGTAACCTTGGAAGACGTGTTCGTCAAATGATTCAAGATGTGAGGGAAATTTACGATCGAGGTAGTTTCCCTGAAGGTCTTGTAATTGAAAGGTCTCCAACTATTGGAATCCCTTTGCCAGCAGAGAATATGGTGGGCGAGGTTAATGTGAAGGAAAAAATTTGGAAATACTTAATGGGTCACGAGGTTGGAATTATTGGAGTTTGTGGAATTGGTGGAGTTGGCAAAACCACTGTTATGAAACACATCCATAATGAATTACTGATACTGAATAAGGCTATTGGGTTTGAGAAGGTTGTCTGGGTTACAGTATCACATCCTCTTAATGTTTTCAGATTGCAAGATGACATTGCTAGGGCAATGAACATAAGTCTTTCAGATTGGTGGGATGAATTGAGCCGGGCATCAAGACTGATGAATGTTATGAAAATAGTTAAATATGCATTGATCTTAGATGATGTGTGGGATAAATTTACTCTTCACAGAATTGGAATCCCAGAACCAACAATGGAAAATGGGTGTAAAATTGTTATTACTAGCAGATCGATTGATGTATGCTACTACTTGAAATCTCAGGTAGTTAAAGTGCCACCTCTACTAGAGCAAGAGTCTTTGAACTTGTTTTTAGATAAGGTTGGGCAAGATGTTCTACGAATTTCCAATTTGGAAGAGATTTTGAAGCTCATGGTGGCTGAATGCGCTGGTTTGCCATTGGCCATTGTTGTCATTGCGGGGAGCATGAGAGGAGTACAAGATATTTTTGAGTGGAGAAATGCATTACGTGAATTGCGTCAATGTGTGGTGGACACAGAGAAAGATTCAGAGGATGAGATATTTAAACGTTTGAAGTTCAGTTATGACCGCCTACCAAATTCAAGCATCCAAGAGTGTTTCTTATATTGCTCATTGCATCCAGAAGATTGGATGATTAGAAGACGAGACCTAATTGAAGACTGGATTTGTGAGGGAATTGTTGAAAAATTAGGAAGTAGAAGAGAAATGCATGATAAAGGAAATGCTATTTTAAATAGGCTTTTAAACTGTTGTTTGTTAGAGGAAGCCAATGAAAAGGCGTGTGTTAAGATGCATGATGTTGTGAGGGACATGGCATTGCGCATCAAGAGCGCAGGTCCTGGTTGGTTTATGGTAAAAGCTGGAATGAGATTGACAGAGATACCAGATGAGGATGAATGGAATGAAGATCTAGACAAGGTCTCCCTCATGAAAAATGAAATATCATATATCCCTCAAAATATGTCCCCCAAATGCTTGATGCTCTCAACCTTGACTTTGAAGGGTAATAACAGATTGAGAGAAATTTCAGAGTGTTTTTTTGCTAACATGCCCCGGCTGAAGTTTCTTGATCTTTCTAATGCTGGCATTGAGGTTCTACCTAATTCCATATGTAACTTGGAATATCTCACTACACTGATCCTTTGTGGATGTGAGAGTTTAAAACGCATGCCTTCCTTGTCAAAGCTTAAAGCACTGAAGAAGTTGGATTTGGATGGAGCAGGCCTTTGTGAGGCTCCTGAAGGCATTGAAATGTTAGAAAATCTGCAATATCTTGATTTATCTTGTCCAAACCTAAGGGTGCTTCCAGAAGGAAAAATCAGTAAGCTCTTCCGCCTCCAATACCTACGTAAACATCAGATTTTTTCAACTGACATAAGAGCAGAAGAAGTAGCAAGATTGAAGATGCTGGAATGGTTTGAAGTTAGATTTGTTTGGCTGAAAGACTTCAGTAGTTTTGTTAGCAAGTTGAACCTTTTTGGAAGACTCAGTCATTACTTGATCAAATTGGGAGACAAAGGCAAAGATAAGGAGGGGCATTTTTGGGAGTTCAACAATAATGATCTTCCTAAACAGGTAATTTTACTCAGATGCGAGATAGGAGAAGAAGCTGAGTTGGTCCTTCCAGATGACCTTCAGGATTTGAGGATTGAACACTGCAATGTGGCTGGTGACATTTCTATTTTTCAGAAAGATTTTACTCAATTGCGAACATGTGCTTTGAAAGACTGTCGAGGGATAGGGTGTGTGGTCTCTTTGTCATCATCTTCATCTATTTCTTTGACAGTTATGAATAACCTTGAAGTACTAACTCTTATGAGTTTGCCTAGCTTGCGCTATGTTGTGAAAGTGGAAAAAATAAGAGCATCGCTTGCACCAACGATATCCCCTCTCATCTTTTCCAATCTTAAACAGCTGAGGGTATCCTGTTGTTCAAAATTGAAGAAGCTTTTTCCATGTGAGCTGCAGCAGGGTCATGGCCTCCAAAACTTGGAGCTGATTGAGGTGATTAATTGTGGGGGCATGGAGGAAATAATCGGATGGGAAGAAGAAGAGGAAGGAAATCAAACAACTACTCCAATATTGATCACTCTTCCAAAATTAAGGATATTGAAGTTGCAATTCCTACCAGAATTGAAGAGAATCTGCCCCGAAAGAGGAGTAATGGTTTGTGAATCTCTCAATAGCATCAATATACATGCCTGTGTGAAGGTTAAGAGGATTCCCCTTTGTCTTGTAAGGGAAAACGCGCAACCATCTCTTCCTTCTGTCAAATATATCTATATTTTCAATTCAAAAAAATGGTGGGAATCGTTAGAGTGGGAGAATCCTGACGATAAGATTGTCCTCCTACCTTTCCTCAAATATATTGAGTAAGTCTCATTGCACTCCCTTTTTCCATCACTTGCATTCCATTCCTTCTCTCTCACTGGTATTTCATAAATAAATGTTTGTGAATGAATCCAAGTGTTAATCTCCATTGATTTGCTCAATTATCTAATCTTGACTGATTTGTTAATAAGATGTCTATCTCGCTAATTCCTTTTTTCATTATTCACAGCCAGGACCCTTGGGTACTTATTACTTATGGTTCTGTTTAGCGTTTCCTTTTGCCTCTATGAGTTTCAATTATCAATTGACTAGTCTCTAACGCACAGCTCAACTCAGGTATATATGCCTGTTGATTTGGTCTTGATGAGATGTCCATCTCCCTTAATTGGATGCTAATTCCTTTTTAAATTATTCATTCATAGGGAGCAAGAGCCTGAATGGATTTCCTGAGTCATCCATTGATTATCAATCTGGTCAATCTGTGTCCACTTTCTAATGCCCAGCCCAGGTATATATGTTAATGTTTTCTTGAACATTTT